AAGGGTCTGTTAGGTAGTAATAACTGCAGTTTAAATAATCCTGCAGGGATGTACAAGGTTCACATCTCAAAAACATTTGAATTAGACAAACTGGACATTGTGGGAAATTCGGAGACCAACGTCTCAACACACACCATTAACACAACACACATCGGAGCCCTTCTTCCCCAGATTAGTTGCTCATGTTTTAGGCACACCCTTTTAAAAGAACTATTTAATAACCTCTCTGCTTATTCATCCTGACTCTTCTCCCAGTGGTTCATCACCGGAAAGTCCAGAGGAGGAAGTTTAGCAATTTCAAATGAGGAAATGAGGTTTCACCTTACATAAAGACTCAGTGCTCATGAAGAAAAAAAAAAAAATGTAGCATTTTGATTGATAAGACGCTTGCATAAATAAACATACTAAAGAAAAGGAGAGTACCTAGATATTAAAGGTGTTGGCAAGTCATTACTCATGGAAAATTGAAGCTGGTTTGCCTAATTCACATAAATCCTCAGGCTCACAGTGACCAGATATTATAATTCCTAAACTTATGAAGTGAACACCATTATATGATTTAAAATTCAAATTATGAATAAAAATGAGACAAGGCAAGGATAGGGTGATTGTTAAGAAGCAATAAAAAGATAGGAAAAGGAGAAAAGGAGACTAGGGAGGGAAAAGGAGAGACAGTGCTGAGAGGACAGTAAAACGAAGAATGATTAAGAAGCCAGAAAAGGAGGCCCGTGTCTACGTGGAAACCGTGATGTGTGACAGAGTGTCTTTGCTGTCACTGAGAAGTGGCAGGGCTATTTGGTTAGTGATTCTACAACAATTAGCTACTAACGTGGAAAAACAATAAAACTGGATTCCTATATCATAAATTTCCGTATGGATTAAAACAAAATATGAAGAGAAAAAGCTATAGTAGAAGTTAATGTAAAAATGTCTTCACGCCTACTGAATAGGGGAGGATTTCTTTTAAAGATTCTCAAAAAGCATAAACCACAAAGGAAAAGACTCATAAATTCGACTACTAAAATTAATTGTTTATCAAAGGTACCGTCATGAACTTAAAAAAAAAAAGTAACATTGAGAGAAAATATTTGCAACATACATGATGAATAAAAGACTAGAATCCAGAATACATTTTTCAAAAACCCTTAAAAATAAATTTGAAGAAAAACACCACACGATGAAAAAGTGGACATAAGAATGACAGGCATCTCATGAAAGGGGAAACTCAAATGGCCAATCAATATATAGATACTTAACCTCAGACAACAATTAAATAATATTTAGACCCACCCATTTGACAAAAACATCTCAAATATGGAAATATTAAGAGCTTGTGAGGATACAGAATACCAAAAACATCTCTATACTACAAATGGGGTTATTAGTAAGTTCCACTACTTTGGAAAGTAATTTGGCACTACCCAGGAAGAATGAGGATGTGCAGAGCCTATCTATGACTCAGCAACTCCCCTGTCAGACATCCAGCCGAGAGAAGCTTGCACACTGTGCACCAGGCCACAGCCACAAGGGTAGTAAAAGCACTGACTGTGACAGCACATCCCAGAAACCTCCCAGACGTCGCCAACAAGACAAGGGGGTGAAGGGCAGATGGGTTCTCGAGGAAGCGGTCTGAGACCGTTTGGTATCCGGCGTGTTCGTGAGGGAGTGCTGAGTAAAGTGGGACTCAAACATGCAGGAGGAAGGAGAAGCCAAGATGCAATGGAGGCCCATTAGCTTTAGGCGACCTCAGGGTCCTCCACCGGGGAACCCGTAGAACTGAAACGGATGGTCAAAGTTGTCCTATTTTAAGTCAAAATGGCCAGGCCTTTATACCCCACCTCACACGCTAATTAGAAGTGGTCCACACCCAAAAGGTCAGTCAGCCCTCTGTCAGAGCAATCCCTGAAGGTCTGGCAGCAGAAGACTATCTGCTGACCACTCTCACAGCACCTGGGACAAGTTCTTCCTTGAAAAGAGGATCTAATGTTCACCATATTGCTGTATACTCACACGATGGAATACTATATAGCAGTGAACATTAATGACCTAAAGCTACAGCAGTCAACATGGATAAATCTCACAATATTGAGAAGAAAAAGAAGAAGAAAAAAATACAGATCGTTTGCTTTCATTTATTTAAAATTCACAAACAAGCAAAATTAACTGCGGGGGTGGGTTTTGAGCTACCACCCACTGGTAATTATCAGTAGTAACAATTTCTGTCAGAGACATGAAAATTGAATCTCGAGTCTTGGCACCCCTCTCTGCCCTATTGCCTCCTACCAGGGACTAACAGAGCCCCTTGAAGGTGCTTAACAGTTATTGAAGAATAAGTTCAGTAATCAGTCACCTGTTCCTTCAAGCTAGGGTCTGAAAACTACCTGCACTGCAGTCACCTGGGCAGCTGTTCTATAAAAAATTACCAATATTTTCCTTAGGGAAAATTACATATGGGTTAAAACTATAATTAAGATGAAAGGGATGTTAAAATATAAAAGTTTAAATGGTCATTACCTCTGGGAGATGAGGGATAGAGAGAGAAAAAGGATCCGATAGGGGACACAAGAGCCGCTCAAAGTCTTGATATTTTTCTGTTTTTAAGGTGGGCCTATGGTTTTGTTTTGTTATTGTTACTATTTATAGCTTACGTGTATTAAAATATTCTTTTGGATAATTGTTTTAATTTTTAAAAGAACAAATATTTTCCTCATTTATTTCAGGAGAACCCATTTTCCCAAAGTTCAACCCAGAACCAGGAGATGCTGTAACCAAATCTGGTCTCCTTACTCCTTGACTCCTGACTGATTAAAAAAGGGAATTTCCATGGTTAGCCCTGGCTGTTTTGCCAGGAATATGTCATACTTCACCAGTGCTACCAAGCTCCACTATGAAATCTTCAATTGTATTTGTTGATGTAAAAAATCTTAAAGCTTCAAATTTAGATAGCAAGTGTGCAGGCAGGAGACATTACAATGGTATAATTATTCACAATTTACATTTGAAAAGCTGCGACTTTGAAAGGAAAATAATTTGCACAATGTGTGAAGTAATAGCTGTGCTAGAAATAAAATGGAATCCCAGACTCTCCCGCCAGTGCTACAAATTACAGCAGAAGAGAAATTAACTGGGGGGAAGGTTTTGAGCTACCACCCACTGGTAATGATCAGTAGTAACAATTTCTGTCAGTATAACACTAATATCTTGCTAAGGTGCTCTGAAACAGCAAAAAATTACCAATATTTTTAAAAATCTGGTATTTTTAGTAAGTTTACTTTCTGAGGCCCCAACTTTCTGTTGTTTAGTGGAGTGTCAATACACAAATTTCTATTTCTTCACAGATGAGTAAAAGACACAAGGAAGCCAAAATCTAACTGGCTCACACAGAGATTTTCAATCAAAACACACATTATGGGAACATAAGACTGTGGCATTTCACACTTCATCTAACTTCTCCTTTGCAGACATCTGCCATTTAGCTATGTAAGGTGGATGTTCAGAGAAAGGACCACTTTGGGGTGGAAAGCACTTTGGAGCTGCCTGCTGTATTTTTAAAAGGTAAACCATCAAAAGCTCTTTGATATTCAGGTGACTTTTTTTTAATGTCCCCCAAAGTGAGAAGTTTTGCTAATAATGACACTAGTGACTAGTCATTAGTCAACTCACTAGTCAAACTCAAGCCTTGAGCTACAAAAACATGGCTCCTTATTTGGAACTAACAGCCAATAGGCCAAGACAAGGAACCCTACAAATATTCCACTGAAGCCTCAGGACAGTGTGAAGCTATAAGGAAAGGATAGACACCTTCCACCAGAATTAAGGAGAAAGGAGTTGTATAAATGGGTAATTTGAGAGTCCTTCCCAAAAAGTGTCCTCCAGCAGTCTACAGTATCTAATAGGGGAGACTGAGAGACAAGCACAGTTGGGATCCAGGGGTCTCACTTCTTTGAAGCTGAATGTAAGCCCTGAAGATGCACCATTGTACTCGTACACAACACACTTCTTACACACACATACACACACACACCCCGCCTGGGAAATCACAGCGTTCCCCTTTAACGTTTTGATTGGTCCATGCTGGGAAGGTTCAAACGTCACTTTTCTCTCTCTCTCTCTCTCTCTGGTCAAAATCAAAACAAAGGATTTTTTGGTGAAGGGAGAGGTCTCAGCTGCCAGGATTGTATTCCGACCGCCCCGAGGAAGCTGGGCAGGAAACCTGAGCATCCATCGGCTGCCTGAGGCCGCCCTGGCTGCCGGTGGCGGGCTGGGCGCTGCTTTGGAAAACAGCGCGCTGTCGGCTCACGGCTCTCCGCTGAGGGCGGACCCCCGGCCTCCGGCACTTCACCCCCAAAGCCGCACGTCCCCTAGATCACAGACCCTGTTCCCACGGATGCAGGAGCGCGTCGCACCTACGTGGGGACAACCCGTGCCACTAAGTATTTATCTGCGTTTCTTGGGGGCCGTGATTCTTTTCTTCCTCAGCGCCAAGAACTTCCAGGCGCCCCTGGTCTGGCCAGAGCCCCGGGGGTGCTGAACCTTCCTGCCCCGGCAGGTGGGATGCGAATGGAGCGTAAGGAGCCCCCCTGCCCGCGCCCGCAGCCTGGGCCAGGGAGCGCAGCCCCGCCGCGGCTCCCGCACGCCTCCCGCGCATGAGAACCTGCTTAGTGCCCCAGGGCCCCCGCCTTGCTGCTGAAGGTGAATTACTCCGGCAACGAGCTAGCGGGAGGCTGGAGGACTCGCTAGAAAAATCAATGCATCCCAGGGGCGGCCCCTCCGACGGCCACCCAGCGGCCGGGGTGAGGGTTGGCACAGCCCGGACTCCAACGGGGGAAGCTCATGCCCGGGGCGCTGACCTTCCCAGGTTGGCGGGGGCCCGCCGGCTGCCCACGCCCTTCCGGCCTGGTCCGGGCCCACCACCCGCCTGGGAGCGCCCGAGGATGAACGGCTGGCTCCCCGCCCGCCCGCCCCGGCTCCCCGCCACCCCGGACGCGCGCCGCCAGCACCTGCGCCGCCTCCGCGGACCCCAGCGCCCGCCGCCCGCTGCGCTCGCAGCCACGGAAGCACGTCCTTTCCGAGATCGAAGTCGGTGACCAGACGGAGAGCCATGGCCGGGACGCGGCCACGGGGCAGCTCTGGGGCCCCGCACCGCGGGCATTCCCGGCTCTGGGTTCGCCGCCGGGTCCCTCTCCCCCTGCGCCCGCCCCTCCTTCCTCTCCCCGCCCCGCTAGCCGGCAGCTTTCGGTTCTGCCTGGTCCCGGCTGAGAAGCCCCAGCACCGCCTCCTCCCGGCCCACGCCGAGCACCCGAGCTGCGAGCTGGACATGCAGGGCCGGGGGGCGGGGGGGGGGGGGGGGGGGCCGAGGCGCCGGGACCAGGCCCACCGGCCTGAACCTCAAGGTGCACCCTCCGGGCGACGCACAGAAAGGGCTGAGGATCTGGGGGTTTTTAAGGGCTTTGCAGGAGATGTGGCTAAACCAATGGTTTCCAAACTGTTGCACATCAGGTGTGGGCACCAGGCACCTTCCTTCCTTCCTTCCTTCCTTCCTTCCTTCCTTCCTTCCTTCCTTCCTTCTCTCTCTCTCTCTCTCTCTCTCTCTCTCTCTCTCTCTCTCTCTCTCTCTCTATTTATTTATAATCCCCTGGTGATTCCACTTTGCAGTCAAGTTTGGAACCCACTTGGCTAGACGTGTTAGTAACTGGGTCTTCTGAGAAGGTTCAAGTTCATGGCAGGGGCAGAGGTGAACCGCATTTGGGGCCTACTGGACCCAGTTTCAGGGTAGTAATGTCTTAGTAGTGTAGGTAGTTAAGTAGCAGCAGGAATCGTGTGAATAGGATGCTTCTATTTAAGAGAGATAATGGAGACACCAGAAAGGGCTAATCAGCTTAACATAGACAGGTGTCTGTTTATGGGTTTCCTACCACTGGCTTCAGTGAAGCTGAATTGTTTAGGATTCTCTCTGCAATTGGCCTTTCAAAAGGTGCTCTCATTCTTGTGGGGGCACCTCCTCATCCCCATCATCACAACTATATCCAGTGTTTTCTGAATCTCCTCACAGCTTTCTTTTCATTCCTGCCCACAGCATCCTAAGTTTACTGCCAGCTCCAAACATCAGCTTATCCCATGGCCATCTTATCCTGAACATCAACACCAGGTTATTACTCACCCTAAAACAAAGCTGTCCTCGCGTCCCTATACAGAGACCGTGAGTCGCAGCTGACAACCCCAGAATAAAGTGCCTACGCTTTACTGAACCCTTCCAGTCTTTCACCCAGAACTTCAGCTCCAGGCTAACCTGACTTACAGAGCCCCTCTGATTCTACCCTCTATCCTTGGAGAGAAATCACCAGGCTCTTCGAACCTGGATCCACAAAGCCTTCTCACAACTGCAGCCCACAGCAACCTTCCCAGCCTAGAGGGATAGTCCCCAGTACACCGCATATACGTCTTGAGACATGAAAATTGAATCTCGAGTCTTGGCACCCCTCTCTGCCCTATTGCCTCCTACCAGGGACTAACAGAGCCCCTTGAAGGTGCGCAACAGTTATTGAAGACTACGTACAGTAATCAGAAAAAATCTTTGTCACCTGTTCCTTCAAGTTCAGGTCTGAAAACTACCTGCATTACAGTCACCTGGGGAGCTGTTTTATAATGCAGACTCCCGGGCTCAAGTCTAGACCTGGGCAAGATCCCAACATGTTCCTTTTTGCCAGAGCCTCAGCTGATTCTTGGGCTTGCTGTGGTTTAATAACTACTCTAAATAAAGGTTAAAGAGGGGTTTGAAGATGGCGATGGGATAAGTGGATCTTTTTTTTGCACCTCCTCCCAGAACCAAAACTGGAAATAAAACTAAATTGGGGAACATTCACCCTGAATTACCAGTTGAAGACTACTTGAAGAGGAGACTTTTAACAAGGAGGAGCAGAAAACTCCTCAAGGCTGGTAAGAAGGGTGGGGTTGCAAGAGCAGCCCAGACCCCAGGCTGGGCTCCCCAACCCGGAGCATGAGATCAGAGCTGATTACATCAGCCCACCTAGCCCTGAAAGCCAGCAGGGCTTCTATCCACCAGGGAGAGATGGAGCCTGCCAGATGCAAAGCCACTTTAAAAAAAACAACAAAAAATAAAACCAGCACAGAATTTTCGTTTGAAGCCACTCACTGAGGCTTAAGGAGAGGGGAGGCAATGAGGAGAGTCAGGGGTGGGAGACATTGCAGGAAGACGTGAAAGAGGGCCAGCTGGGATATGGGTGCTCAGTGATAAGGGCATACCACAGCCTCTCCCAACAGCAACAGCCTGGGCAAAGGCAATTACCCCACCCTCAGGGATATAGCTTGACCCCTGTTGAGGAGGCAGCAAAAGAGGCCCAGCCTATGGTTCTGGCCAGTCTCAGAGGGCATCAGTGACTGGCTTTGAGGTCCGGCCATTTCCCCCACTTTCCCGGGAACCTGACTGGTGCTTCCTCCTCATGGGAGAGTGATGATAGAAACAAGGAAATGGCCACCTGAAATGACACACTAGACCTGATGGATTTGATGCTTACAGAACATTTCATCCCAAAGCTGCAGCATATACATCCTTCCAAGTGCACATGGGACATTATCAAAGATAGACCACATGGTTGGACACATAGAAAGTCTTCACAAATTCAACAAGATTTAAATCATATCAAGCATCTTCTCAGATTACAATGGCATGAAACTAGAAATCAACTACAAAGACATTCAAACACATGGAGGCTAAATAGCATTTTATCAAACGATGACTGGATTACCGATGAGATCAAGGAAGAAATTAAAACCTTCCTGGAAACAAATGAAAATGGACATACAACAATCCAAAATCTATGGGACACAGTGGAAGTAGTCCTGAGAGGGGAGCTCATAGCACTAAGGGCCTACCTCAAAAAACAAGAAAAAGGCCCTCCTTGGTTTGGCCCAGTGGATAGAGCATCGGCCTGCAGATTCTGGTCAAAAGCAAGGGCACATACCTTGGTAGCAGGCTCCTCCCTGGCCCAGGCCCTGGTCCAGGCTTGTGCAGGAGGCAACCAATTAATGTGTTTCTCTCCCATTGGTGTTTCTCTCTGTCTTTCCCTCTCTCTTTTAATCTCCCTAAAAATCTATGGAAAAACATCCTCAGGTGCGGATTAAAGAAAAAGCTCAAATAAACAATCTAACCCTACAACTAAAAGAATTAGTAAGAGAACAAGAAAAGCAGAAGGAAGGAAATAATTAAGATCAAATAGAAAATAAATAACCTAGAGACTAAATGACAATACAAAAGATCAACCAAACCAAGAGCTGGTTCTTCAAAAATATAAAAAACATTGATGAACTTTTAGCCAGACTTATCAAGAAACAAAGAGAAAGGACCCAAATAAAACCAGAAATGAAAGAGGCAAAGCAACAAATGATATCACAGAAATATAAAGGATTGTAAGAATATACTATGCCAACAAATTGGACAATCTTGAAGAAACGGATAAATTCCTAGAAATTGAAAAAAATCCTAGAAACAAACAATCTTCCAAAACTCAATCAGAAAGAATCAGAAACCTGAATAGGCCAATAACAACTAATGAAATTGAAGCAGTAATCAAAAAATTCCCAGCAAACAAAAGTTCTGGACCAGAAAGCTTCATAGGCAAGTTTTACCAAGCATTTAAAGAACTAACACCTATCCTCCTCAAACTATTTCAAAAAATTTAAGATGAGAGAAGACTTCCAAGCTCTTTTTACAAGGCCAGCATTATTCCAAAATCAGAAAAAGACACTACAAATAAAGAAAATTTCAGGCCAATAACCTTGATGAATATAGATGCTAAAGTCCTCAATAAAACATTAGCAATGTGTATGTACATTAAAAAGATCATACACCATGACCAAGTGAGATTTATTTCAGGGATACAAGGCTGGTAAAATATTCACAGAACAATAAACATCATGTATCACATAAACAAAATGAAGGATAAAAATCGCATGTCATATCAATAGATGTGGAAAAAGCATTTGACAAAATCCATTACTCATTTATGATAAAAAAAAAACTCTCAGCAAAGTGGGAATAAAGGAATGATACCTCAACATAATAAATGCCATATATGACAACCAGCCAATATCATACTCAATGGGCAAAAACTAAAAACATTTCCCTTAAAATCAGGAGCAAGACAGATATTTCTGCTTTTGCTACTCTTATTCAACACTAGAAGCCCAGTGCATGAAATTTGTGCACAGGGGCTGGGGGGGGGGTCCCTCAGCCCAGCCTGCATCCTCTCACAATCCGGGACCCCTCAGGGGATGTCAGGCCTAAACCGGCAGTCGGACATCCCTCTCGCAATCCTGGACGCTGCATGCACCAGTGACCATACTTTTCATACAGGTGAAAGGTATCTAGCTGTTGTATGGGCAGCTACATTTGTTTTGCTCTGATTATAAAAAGTAGTGCATAAGATGATCTTTCTGAGGCAATAGTACCATTTTCCCCGTCTTATGGGTGGAAAAACTGAAGCAGAGAGAAGTTAAGTAATTGGCCTTGCCACACAGTTTAAGTGTCGGAATCAGGACTGACCACAAAATGTGCAAGCCAGAGTCCATGCATTTCATCGCTGCATCATCCTATTTTTTCAGTGTTAGAGTGGCCTTGCCAGGTTTTAATTTTTAAATCTAAGAGACTGTTCCCAATATATAGGGTAGGGTCCCTAGGCCTGGCCAGCAATCAGGGCCATCTGTGGGGCGACCAGCTGGCAGGGTGGTGGGGGGCCCCCCACTGGCACCCACCTTGGCTGGCGGCCTGGTGGTGCCCACTGGTCTGCCCCTCAATTGCTGCTGTCGTTCGCCTCCCCCTTGGGGGGACAGATGCTCAACACAGGAGCTGCCCCCTGGTGGTCAGTGCACATCATAGCGACCTTTCGTTCCGCCATTCGGTCGATTTGCATATTAAGGTTTTATTATAGGAAGGGTTTTGTTATTTGCATATGTTATATGCAAAACCCTCTGTGGCTAGGATAGTACTGGAAATCCTGGCCACAGAGAGTCTCTTGTAGATAGCATATACATGGGTCTTGCTTCCTCATCTATTAAGCTACCCTATGTCTTCTGATTGGTGCACTTAAGCCATTTACATTTAAAGTGATTATTGATGGGTACGTATTTATTGCAATTTTATTCTTTTAACTCTCTTTTCTTCTTATTCTTCA